ATATATATATACGTTACTGTTTGTAGGGCCAATGCCGCCGTGTGAAAGCGTTGAGGTGGTGCAGAAAGAATACAAACATCGTTTAAGCGCATTTGAAGCTGAGCAACTCAACAAGGTGTCTATCCATTTCATTATGTTTCAAACTTCTTCCGTGTTCGTGAAAATACTATCAAAATATATTTTTGTGGAGACTCAAAGCCGTCTCGAATTGTTTCTGATTGAGCGTTCATTAATTTGAAGGGTTCAACAAGCAAAAGAGAAGAGTGGATGGTTAAGTTACCCAAAAAACTGAATAGTTTCGGACTGGGTGCAAGAACATTTTCGAAATCAAGTGCTGGTGGCTCTTTAACAGATCAAGATGGTGTGCGTGAATGGACCGAAACCCCACAGCAGAAGGCTGCTAGATTATCATCGGTTTGTTTTCCTTGTAGCGATGTGCGATCATCCATTCTCTCAGAAGTCTTGTTATTCGGATGGAACTTTTGTTGGTCTTAAACGTTTTTTTAACTCATACATTACACATTCAAATGCTCTGTTATATTTAATTATAGTCTTACATTTGCGGTCATACCCTCACGAGCAAGTGAGACTGAAGTGAAATATGTAGCCAATGTGCATATGTTGCGATAGTTAAAATGTTCTGAGTTGACACATTGCAAAGATAGATTGTGTCGTGATTGTTGAACGTTTTTAGCGAATGTTGACTTTGTAATTTCAGAATGAACCAACATCTTCATCAACAGACACGAGCAATCGTTTGCGTAGTGCAAGTCTGGCTGAAAGAGATCTCTTGCAGCAACAGCGCGCCTCGAATCTCAATGTTTGTTTGTTCCTTACTTGGTTGTTGTTTCCGCGAGCTGAATAGAGCTCAATGAAGCAATCATTCACAATGATATACATTCTGTTTTTACTCATTGAGAATGCCCCTAATACTTTGAAAAAATCAGACTTCGTATCAAAAATGGATACGTGATAACTTTTTGTCGTTCACATGTGTTTCGCAGCTGCTCACATATAATGATCGAATGCAGAATAACAATGCGGAATCTCATCTGTCAGCCTAAGCAAAGAAAGTGAACTTAAGAGTCGTGTAATTTCGCAATTCGATATTCTTTTCAGAAGGATCGAAATGCTTCATTGCTGGAAATACATCGAAGAAAGCGGAAAGCAGATGATGGCTGTGGTGATTCGGTTGGTTTTATTTTCACTGAAAGTTTCTTCACCATTGATGCAAGTGAAATTGTCGCGAGTTGAATAACGGTGATTTTGTGTGACAATTACAGCTATCTGTCTGTTCACGTTTTCTTTCCTCTCTCATTCGTATGATACTTTTCCAGAATGAACAGTCCACCAGTCGGCATGCATTCGATCGAGAACGAGATATGCAGGTAAATTGATTTTGCGTGATATGTTCCTTGTTTGCTTCGTCACTTGTTGATGTTGATTTGGATGTGATTGAATTCGCCTTGATTTTTTTGGTTCGCTGGAAAATTAAACATCGACTGTAAACTCTCTTGGAAACTAACTTTCATTAGTCATATTAAATCACCTTAAGATGTGTTTTTTCTTTTTACTTATATATGACACAAGATCGCAAATAATCGAGGACTGTTCCAAATAATTTGTGCTTCACAGAGAACACTAGAACATCAGGTATATTTTAAGGTGAAAGGTTTACGTGGTGATGCAAGTGTCGATGAAATCAAAGAACGTTGCGGAAAGTTGGCTTCTCGATTCGGTCATTCATCCACTCAAAAGTTTTTGTAATCGGAGATATTCCTCGTTGCTTTTGATATTTCTGTTCTTATAGTCTACTCTCTGTTTAATTTGATTTTTTGATTATCTTAAGATGAAATCACCGACTTACTACCTTATCAGTGAATATCTTGTTGTGCTTATTTGACTGTTCAAGTTGTGAAGTTAAATGTATTGATGGTTTTGGATCATAATTGTAGTATTTTTATTTCTTTAACTTAATGAGAACACCACTCGTTATTTTCCACAAAATTCATCTCAACCGTGACGTTTATGGTTTGTTGGAATTGTGTTGGATTGAACAGTTCATAAGTTTCGCAACCTTTCTGATTCTTATGGAACAGTAATATCGAAAGTAGTTGAATGTGAGAATCCAGTGGGAAATATGGTATCAAAAATGTTTTTTTTCAAGTGGACATATGAGTAAATAATCTTCAAAACTGTCATGTGTGGTAGTGTAGTTTTCGATAAAGGCTGATATTTTCAAACAGTTTTGTTCCGTATCTGTAAACCTCCGCATGTTCAGCGAATGAGCAGTATTCGATAATTGTTTTCAAAAGGAAATGGTTGGTTTCCACTGCAGCAAAAGTATGGCGAGTAAACTATGAGCATAGCAAAGTCTGATCTGAGCGAACGTACACCAAAATTGAGCCGAAATATCAAAAAGTTTGTGTTTTTCGAAAGATGTCGAATGATGTCGTTTATTTACCTTTCTGTTTGTGTGTTATTGTTATCGTGAGTGTTATTGTTGTTGTGTGTTCAAAGAGAAATCTTCTTGTTGTTATTCATCTCAATCGAGTATCGCTAGTTGAATTTTTGGATGATTTGCGTTTTGTTGTTGACGATATTTTGTTGTTTTTGGTGAGTATTCCGTTTCTGGAGGCTGTGCCCAAGGTTTTAATTTCGTTTGAGACATATTGTATTGTTCAAACAATATGCATCGGTCAGTGGTGCGTGCGCTCAGTGAACTACTTTACACTCTGATAGCAAATTTAATGAGATCGCCTTCATGGATTGTCGGTATTTTGATTATTACTCCTGCTTGAAAGTCCTTCATTGGAGAAGTGTAATATGAATATCAAATTGATGTGGATGCTGATGACCAAAGGCTTTCAATTCATTTCACTCATTCGAAAGCCAAGCTCCATTCTCAACCGTCAAATATTTGATCGTTCTGTCGTGAATGAATGCTGAAATGTATTGAAATTGAAGCTGTCGAAATTGTGAACATTTGAAAATTGATCCAAAACATCTACGCTAACTTCTGCATATTGTCCACATGTCCTCTTTGGTTACCTCTATGTTTAACAACGCGTTGATGTTCCGTTTAACACAGTACAATGTTGTTTAATAATGATTTTTTTTGAATTTTATTTTGAAATGAACACTCTCATGAATTATTGTTTCTTTGGTTATTAACTTTTGGATGTTGTTCACTTTATTGTGCGATTGAATTCAACATTTCACCTCAGCATTTTATTGCAGACGTTGTTTGAGAATGCTAAACTGCATTTAGAAAAATATGCACTTTGGAAATTACTTCGGTCGATACCACTTCACCGAAGGATGAAAAATGGATGTGGTATTCTCAGTGATATATTGGCAAACTAGCTCCATAAATTTCTGTCGCAAATTCACTACTTAAATGCAAACACTGCAAGCAGTGTTGCTGCTTGCAGTGTTTGAAGGATATGGTTTATGCATTTAAGATAGCTTGAATCACATCCTCAAACAACTGAATCTCGGGACTGGCATTCATTGGGTGATTCTGTTCTGTTTAAAGTCTTGCTTCAACGTTCCAACGACGTTGACGATTGGATTTCGTGTAGAAATCCGCAACTGAACTGAGTGGCTTACAGATGCATTGAACTGAACGACCTGTTAATTGAAATTCATTCGGTTCCAACAGCCAACAAATTTGAATTTCTTTTATTGCAGACACGTAAACTACAGATTTCCACGAAGTTATTGATGACTGCAGATCGGACATCTGAATTCTTCTATCGTTCCCGGATTTTTTATAGTCAAAAACCGAATTTCTGTTTTTTTTTNTTTTTTTTTCTCACCATGTATCATAAGAGCAGTCCATGCTACTTTTCTGTGCGACATCTTGCATAATTATTTAATGATTTGAGCACACCAATGCACCCAACGATCCATCCAAACCGCATTAATATTCTTATTTCTCACTAAAAAATGACATTCCTGCTCTTAAGGGATGTTTCCTCTTTCTCAGTCGTTTGGTGGATAACGAAATCTCCTTCTGCAGGAACCAACAATAATTGCCCATCTTATATGGGTTGAAATTACCTTAATATCTGTAAAATCTGTTGATTGGAGTGTTCATCATGCTGGTCGCTTGTAGCCGTAAACCTGACACAGAAGTAAATGCGAGAATTCAAAAATACATTTTCAAGCACATTTCGCATTACATTCGTTCATAAAATTTAGCTATATTTTCTACGCTTTCTAGATTTACGGTTCCACAAGAAATTTTTACACCCGCAAAAAACGATGTTCATGCACCTAGTAATTCCAGTTTCTAGCTTACATCTGACAACATTCCTTTGAATGTATCCGTTAAATACTGGAAACTACTATCCTGATGATCCACATTCTTCACAAAATTCCTCATAAGAGTGGTGAATTGGTGAACGATATATTCTCTGAGGGTCGGTGGATGCTGGCTATTTCACATCCTATTCATCATCAGCATGCTCAGCTCGAAATGGCCAATTGCATTTTTAACGCCAAATCACTGAGGACTTACAACGTCATTGCTTTTCTTTTACCACGAACTGCTCACCCAAGCTACTATGTTGAAGGTGCATTGAACGTTGAACAGCAAATGTGGTGCCCAGTCCCTGCCTTGATACCAGTACTCTTATTCAAAATAGTACTCATACTCAAGTTTTATCTTTATTGTTATTTCTCTACGTTGTTGCCTAGTGTATATTGTCAGCAGGCACAGCAAAGTCATCTGGGTTATTTAGCGTCAGCGCGTATATTTGATGCCATTTCATCAATAATTCAAATTACCTTACAATGTTCGGGAGAGTGATGAATAAAGTAATTGCTTAGATATGCGAACGGTGCAAAAACGGTGCCAAATATGAAATCACGACAATTTCCCCATTTCCATTTCAAACAAAATCCGGACGTGATAGAACGAATCTAGTTGCAGATTTAAAATCAACATAGCAGAATCAGCTGGAAATAGCTACTTGTTAAACAAAATTTTCGTTATCCAGTGTTGTTATCCAGGAAGTAAAGTACAAAATTGCTTTAAAGATCATTGGTAATGAATGCGGATTAAGAAATAAAGCGAGCAAGCACACCGTACGCATATCCACAATTGAACACTCACTTCTTGTTGGGTGCTAGGGACAGAGAGCATCATAATTCGCATATTCCATAGTGTCATTGTGTGTTGACTAATCAAGCATCGTTTCATGGTTGGATTGTCTATTCGATCGAACTGCATGTATTTGATCAGTGAATAATGAACAGTGCCTATTTATTAAGAATTTCTTGCTGATGTAAAGAAACGCACGCAAATAAACAACAAGTTTATTGCAAAAAAATGAAAACGTTGAATTTGTCCAATTGTCCAATTAGAAACAAATGACGAATTCCACACAAGAAGAATAGAGAGCGGAAGACAAATTTGCTACATTTTCGGTCTAATTTGAGGAAACGACACACAAAAATGAATAACACCGCAAGCAATATTAAGAATACAGTGATTATGATATGAAATAGAATACAATGTTCGTAAAGAGAGAATGAATCAGAATACTAAATTGTTCGACTGGAAGCGTAGAAAACGAGACAAATTTTGGTGATGACAATATAGATGTAGCAGAAATTATCTGTCGACAATATTGTCAAATCGAACAACAACGTGTCTTAGTCAACCTTATAATCAGCTTGAAACATTGAGTGATAGTGTCTAACACTGAAACAGGAACCATTACCCACTTTGAACGACTGTATGAATTTGGTTGTTTCTGCTATTTTATTACTATTTCATGAAAATATCGCAAAATTTGGTCACATTTTTTGGGTCTACTTAAGAAAGATTACCGATAAAATACGTAAGAGAAAAACTTTTTGACTGAAGATCAAGGTCAGGATCAAAAGACTCGGCAATCAAAGTTGTGGTCATCATCAGCTGACGTGATAAAGCAAGTCGAAGACGAAGATGCTCGTTGTTCACGATTGGAAACGTGCGTTCCATGACGAATCAGTTAAAAAGATGAAATGATCAAAGGAAAAGTTTCATATCTCATCCAATCAATGAGTGAAACAGTTTTGATGTGACAAAAAAACCACGAAAATTTTCTGTGAAAGGTTCATTCGAGTGAATGAAATATGAACGGTCGAATGTGAAAGATGAATCGGTATGATGAACATTAGATATTATTGTGCAAATGGATGCAGCATTTGAAGGAATCGTTGCAAATCAAAGTCGTTAATGAGCTGAAGACGCAGAATGAATGGATCAGTGTTACAGCTTCTTATTGGAAGGTCTTTCGGAGTATTTGAACACTTCTGACCGAGGATTTTGACTCGGTCTTATTAGCGCCATCGTAATTCGTTGAACCGTTCTGACGATTCGACGCTGACGGTGAATCGACACGATAGCGAGTACGATCCAACGATCCGTCCTGATGATATTGATCACGATGCGAATCGCGCGACTCGCTGCGATACTCTTTGTTCACCTCTGAACGATATTCCCGTTCACGCTTCTCACGCGTTTCGAAGCTACCTACAAATGGGATGAATAGAAACTTCATTACTGCACATTTTGATGTGGGCATTTAACCTTGATATTATGCTTAAGATATTAGAGATATGACGTTAAATGATAGAATGAATTTGAGATGGGACCCGAGCCGCGTGCAAATGATTTATCAATTCGGTATCAAAGTCGAATGAGAACTGGATCACGATGCTTATACCATTTTCGCAGTATGAAACATCAAAGCAATTCCCAAAGGTCTACAAATTGTTTCGAAATCTAAAAATTTGCAAACTTGTAGCCAGCTGAACAATTCAGTCTGGTCATGTTCGAGACTCGTTATTTCCAGTCTAGCATCATCAAAATATAGCATTACGTGTGCGGATACACGGTGAATTAGGAGACAAAGACGTACGCTGATCATCAGTTCGTGGAGCGAAATGAGTTGTTATTTGTTGTGGTTGAGTTGCGCCTTGAGTGCCTCCACTTCTGGACGTTTCATGATAGTAGGTATGTGACGAGTGTGTCTGTGGTGAGCGACGCTCTGCAAACCGTTTTGTATCTCATAGAAAACACCATAAGGGAACTTATAAGGTGGTGAACAATACGAAATGAATGAAAGACTCAGTTGAAATAAGAAGTCATCAAAGATGATTTCTCGAGCGAATTCCACAGGGTAGCATATGAACCTTGCGTTTCAGTGCTGTGGTACGTTTCAGATTCACTGCGATCTCTTTCACGAGGACTCTCGCTACGGAACTGAGTACGAGTTTCACCCCTTCTAGACGGGCCTTCAATAGGAATGACACGCTCCCGTCCAGCCACATAACGTTGACGTTTCACTGCTTCAACAGTCAAACGACCCTAAATTCTCCAATAAATAATCATTTCATCATCATCGTGAGCTGATCGCAAGGAAGTATGTTGTCTTAAATGATCATCAAGATGAAAAATCTCACAGATAGTAATACCCTACGGATTTTATCGTTTTTCAATCATACCGCAGAAATACCACTGGAAGTTTTTATGAATTATTGGAAACGTTGCATTTTTGAAACAAAAATATTTTCTCGCGATGAATGAAAATTGGATGTGTCATATCGATTGAGTATTGTCGATGGCTCACTGAACACATTTCCAGATAAACATTAAGCAGAAGACGAGAGTGTGCATGACTAAGGATGATCACAACTGACACTGCTATCGATGGAACTGCACACGTCCACCGGATCGATGTCAGATGGCAGTTGATATTTTCTGACGAAATACATTTTCGTGAAATTGTCACGATCACGAACGTCCTCATGACGACCTTCAATCAGCAGCGTATCGTCCACAGTTTTCACCTGGAATTACGCCGCTAATATTCATCGTAAACTCCATTCAGTAATCAATCAGTAAAAGCGCTTTTCATGTTTGCAATTGTGCATCGCTCGCTGTCAATGCTTCTGGCTCAACCACGTCTCTTAATAAACTCTACGCATCACCTTCTCTTCATCACTTCCGTAACGATCACCATATTCAACAGTGCATCTCTGACCATCAAAAAAGCAAGTAATAGCCACTATTAGAAGTAATTACTTCTACTGCTCATTAATCTCCATTATTGATCGCCATTTCACAAAAATTTGAATGCAAACCGTAAAAAGACTCATTCAGTTGCTGTGGCAATTATTGCAAGTGAACGATTATGGTTCTCATGCAAACAAACAAATTAGGTATTCTCATGCAAACAAATCTCCAGTATGCATGCAATCAACCTCCCAAACAACTATTCCAGTTCACTTGCGATTATATGCGTGAACTTTCATTGCAGTCGGATCGATTCCACTAATGCAATAATGACAGTTTCTTGATGAACATTTTTTCCATATTACAAAAAGGATTACAATTCTCATAAATTCTAAATAAATATGCAAACTGAATGACTCGTTTCAAGTACCTGTATTTCCTCGGGACGAAATTGATACGCGTCAACGTCGACAGCGAACCGCTCAGAATCGTTCGTAATTTTTGTTTTTATATCGATTCCCTCTTTAAAGATTGGCTCTGCCCAACGAGGGTACAAATCTCTCCAAAAAGGATCCGAACGCCAGTTTTTATCCATTCGATCCAAATGTGATGAGAACTAAATATGTGAATTCAAATGAGCGAAACGCATAGCTGTCGATGAGCAGTTACCGCTTTCAGATACAACACAGCAAACTGAACATTTCAACAAAAGTGGTTAAACGATGATCAAATAATGAAGCATCGTCAACGGCAACACGATATTGTCTCATGACAGCTGCAAACGACCATACATGGTGCCACATCGAAATATTGATTTTTTCAGTGAATTAGGTATTCTCATCCAAACAAATCTCCCAATATCCAATGAATTTTACAACAAAAAGCAATCAGATTTATTGAATCGTTTTGAATCGCCAACTATGGTTTGAATAAACGACGTTTCGTGAGAGCGGATATTTGCGACGTGAAGAAAGGAATTGGGTTTGGATATTGGAGGAGCGATAGCGCTGAGACATTTTGAATGAGCTTGTTGACAATTGCTAATCGTGGTTTAAGGCTTCGAATAATGGGTGATAGGGATGACTCATAAAACAAATTATATCTGTGTTGTTTTGTTTGATCGATTTGGTTGCATTGATGATGATGATCTGTTTTGCAGTAATTCCATATTTGTTGTCATGAAAACGTCAACAAACTGAGAATACGTATTGCTTTCGGTTATTATATTTGTCTGGATCATTCTTTTCTATTTACTGGATCTCGTCATGCTTACGAAATGTGTTTGCTGCGTTTTAATGCTATTAGCATTCGATTGTGTTTCTTCGCGCAAACGCATCGAAAGGCATTATGGTATAACAACGCAGATGCATGAAAGCTCGTCATCGGAAATACATTTCGCTATTTTGCTCGTGCTATAACTATGCAATCGGTTTTGATTAATACTATAAAAATCAGTTGACTACATCAGCGCACTAATTTATAACTGGTTCAGTATGATATTCTAAAGGGATTTATTGCTTATTTTAAGGATTCTGATGGCCTTCTAAAATTCTTTCTTCTAATCTATACCGACAAGAATTCTTACAATCGTTTTCATTCCACTCACGGCAACTCAATGAGCTTTCAAAATTTTCATCCAACTCAGTTTTCATAACACATATGACAGACTTTTTGATAGCATAGCTCCACTAATTATAAGATGGACCGGGATATTTCAAGATTGAGAACACACATTAAGCAATGACGGGATCAGTTTGCTAGGGTTTATCTCTGATGTAGATTGTGAATTTGAATCGCTCCCAATCGAAAATAATCACCAACTAGCACAATCGCATCGTATGCAATTTGAGGTAAATAATATTGTAAATAAATAGAAAACGAACGCGTGGCACAACTGCATCCATCCTCGGCCAGTTGGATGGCCAGTCCAAGAAACCGCGATGACGATCGAAGTCCGAACGGAACTGCAAATTTCAGAGGCATTTTACTACGACGGATACCCGATGTGATGTTTTATTACTCATAAAATCATTTCAGTCATCAAAATAAGCATTCTCAAAGACGGATTTATCGCATGGATCGAAACCGTTTATCGATATCTAATTGATGACAGACTTTTCGAGGTGAATCGAAATGGAATAATCAGTTCTTTCGAATATAAAACCATCTAAAAATAATACAGTAAAGAGCAGCTCATGCGTATCTTAAGCAGATCATGTTTTACCGTAATTTGCAGAATGTATTAGCTGTTGCCAGAATGCTGCAGGGATCATTCATTCTTTCACGTGTTTCTATCGTGTATGAAGTCTACTTAAGTTTTCAAATGCACCAAAAAGCTCAAACGAGCATTTCAGTAAACTCGCAAATGGTTTCAATAACCTCATTACTCAAGCGATACCTCATGATAATAACTTCCTCTGAGATTTGCAATCATTCGCCATATGTCAGCAGGATTAGTCCATTAAAAATTATTTTCAACATATTTTATGTGGAAATGCTTCGATTAGGTGAAAGATATGATACGGAAAACACATCAGAGAAGATAAATCAACCTCATTTGAAGAAAATATAACTCCAATATCCATTCACATGAATGATATTTTCATTCACATATACCTTCAATTAGAAAATTATTTTTGTTCAGCGATTAGTTTTTTCTCAAGCAGTGAATGTCATTTTGAATGGTGAATATCATTTCGAATGGATCTGTTCAATATGCGTTGAAAAAATGAGGAAAAAAATATCTCGGAATTCACGTCCAATATTGAGAATAACAGCCAATTAAATAATCTTCATTCCCCAATGAAAAGCCCCATTCTTTACAAACGACTTTAACGATGTCTTATGTAAACGATTCGAGTCATCGAAAATATGGTTTGAAATTCTATAACACAAAAAATTTGCCATCTTCTCCATTTTCAAATGGTCCTCGTGTTTCGAATACAATAAGCAACTGAAATGGTCGAACCAGAAGCCGATAGCAGCAGCTGGCTTGTTACCCTAGCAACAAACGAATGCCTGGATCATGGATAATGCCCCACGAGCAACATTTTGAATCACGCAATGAACGTATAAATTAATAAGGTCATACAGCTTTTTGTTCACGAATTCGCGCATAGTTGTTCGGCTGACACAATCTAATCTTTTATCTCAACGTTTTCCGGCACCCGCAAAATGGATAGCTGCCATCGGTAGCCAAAATAACTTCATATTAAAGCAAAGCAGACCCACACACTCCATGCTCACAATATCAAATTTATAAGAAAAAGAATGGCATCCAGAAAATTTTGATNTGTTTATTTTGGCGATTCAACGTAAAATGACACAAATGACTGGAGGGAGATGAGTTCACGATTGATGATTATTTATTGTGATGATATACGTAAATGTGAGGTGTGGTTTGTTTGTGCATTGAGTTGATGTTATTTCATAGAGATGACTTCATCTATATGTATGTGTAGGTATATGCGAAACGAAAGGTACTAGTGACACTGAGCACAGTAAATTAGGATAAATCACGTTGATTGCAACCATAATTATTGTGCGTGTGTATGTGCTTGCTGAAATGTGTGCATCATGCATTCTATTCGGCACCACTTCAAACACGTACCAATACGCATAACACATTACAGGTATTGCGTTCAAGCGGCCTATTTTCAAAACGTTCTTCATTTCAAAGAGGATTATTTTTTCTCTTCGCTCTCTATTATTCTCACATGATTTGCATCAATCATTTAGCGTTATCGCTTTATTTTTTATTCCAGAACAAATCACTTTTAAGACCTTTCATCTTCAATATCTCAGATTTTTCACACACAAACACACTCAATGCATTTCAACAGGTTTCCACAGCAGCCACTTATTATATCAATAAACAATCTCATTCAAAATGGAACTCTAATGGTATCATTGAAATGGGGAAAATTCCCATGAGGAGGCTCGTTGTTTTTTAAAAACTTTAGATTAAATATTCTGTTGGAATATGATTGTCGAATGTGATCACTCATGTGCTTTGCGCATAAATAATGATGCGCATCCTTTGGGAACTAATTTATACATTTGCGATTCTTAAGAGGACCACTGAAATTTGTATCGAATGTCTGCTTCCATCTATTGATTATTCATGAATTGACAACTTAAATCAACAATTTTCGAATGACTTTCAAAATTGACTTCACTTCACTTCTTCAGTACGGTCGTAAATCATGAAAATTATCGCCTGATGGCCTTTGTTCAAATTTTCATTTCTATCCAAGTCATTGATTGAGCAAGATTGACGATTAAACATTATAAACTAGGAACCTATACAATTGTGAATTGCAATTCCAATGAGTGTGTGAATGGGGTGTGAAAATGTATGTCTTTTTTTGAAAGCGAAGATTTGAATTCGCCTCGAAATATTCCATGCATATCAACACTTAATGATGCGTTTGAAATATTTTGCATTCGGAAGTTTTCCTTTCTCCATTCTCTTATATTCTCACTTGTAATTGCATATGTCAAAAAATTCAATGTATAGAATTTTGTTCAACTGGAATTCCTTTGAAATGTCGTCAACTGACAACAAAACAGTAATAAAAGACATCTCATAGCCAAAGCAGTCCTAATCGGTGGTGAATAAACACCGGATATGTTTACTTTACATAAACAGTAAAGGGATAAATGTGTTCAGTACACACCTGATGGAAATAAATTTGTCTTTTTCAAAAAAAANAAAAAAAATCAGACCTATCAAGGGCAATTGCGTCTTCATTTTCGATGATGACTCAAAAGTCAGCATTCCAAATTGAAAGATGTTTTTCTTCCTTTCAGTCAATCAACTTTTAGAACGAAATTTGACAGCTCAATTTAAAAAAGTCTGAATCATGTTTGAATGGTGTCTGATTGCTTTGATGGCTGCTTAAAACGACGAATGTTAGCGTAGAATGAGAGTTGATGCAAATTGAAATGACATTTTTATGAACACAAACAAATGTGTTGAGCAGTTGAAGAACAGATGGTTGTTGCCATTGAATGTTCGGCATTCAGCATTAAAACTAACTGACAAACAACAAATACTTTCAGTATCAAATTTATGGTCAAATAATTGAATATAACAAGACTATTTGCTGATTTCGATGGTATATGATGCATATTTCATGTTGTATTCTATGTAAATATGAACAGCAACATGACAACAAGTCACTTATCGAATCAAGTAACGATACACGAAGAGACTTCGTGATGAATTTGGTTGAGTTGGATCACAGACTGTGTTTACAAGCAATATGTGGTTTGCATTCCACACAAATTGAAACTCCACATTCAATAAAAGTAGCAAATGAAAAATAACAAGATTGATGACAGTAAAACTGATGTCGATTGTGAAATGTATAATTTGAGTTTCATTTTTATAGCGATTTGGTGTCAAATAGAATTGAAGTGATAAAATAAGAATGCGATGTTTGTGGAGTGGAGAAGCATCCAAATCGAATCATAAATCAAAAAACTGACTTCCAAACAATTTCAAGGATGAAAAACTAGTAAAATAACAATGAGACGGTGAAAGAATCATCAGAGACTGATATTATTTTGTAGTTTGAATCAAATGTCAATTGCGATAAAGTATTTCGCTTGACGTACGATCGAGAAGCCAATGAAAAGGCGATGTGATTCATTGCAAACATTTCGAGTATTCAATAGATGTTTTGATTAATTTGAACAATGAATCAAATTTTTACTGCAATTCGTTTCATACGGAGAACATTCTGTCACAAAAGAACGTAAGACAATTGGAAAGATCGCTGTGGAGAGCACAAAATGCATTTGCTTTTCATTTGCATTGTTCAACATCTNCCATCTATTCATCTTCATCTGTTAAAAAAAGCAATAGTTGTTGAAACATTTCAAAGTTTATGACGACCACGTAGTAGCGTCAAGATTTTCGCACTGAATCAGTAGGAAGGAATGCTTTAGAGAGCGCCTAAAAAAGAAGATTTCAAGAAGACTCACCCTCATCATAAGTTCGCGAGGTTGTGGCCAGTCGATTGGCCAGTCATCCCAGCCCCGCATCCAGTCATCGTCATCCCAGAATGAACGTCTCAACTGCTCATCCCTCCAATGTTTCTCAACAAGTGCCATTGTTCCACGACTTGATACCGTTGATCAAATGAAATATAATGTCACCAACTGGAATAATGCCTCAACAAGTTATATAATCCATTTACACAAAACAAGCCAATGCGGTGTACGTAACCAGTTTCACAAATGATCTGACGCGGTGTCGACGCTGATATAAGTTTGTTCGAGAAGGCTAATTTGTAATACAACGGATGGTAACGAGACTGTAATGTCGCAAAACAACCTAATTAGGTGCAATTTCGAAATGTGTGATGATCATATTTCAGAGTTGATAAGAGAGTACACGGAAGAGATTTGTGAGGCAATAATAGGGTAACGCATCATTTGTTGTGGATCGTTAAAATATCGCGGATGTTTCGATACGTTGAAAATAAGTTCTCATCTGAAGCATTCTGATAATAACAAGAACTGATCACATGAATAACATCCGATGCACTTTTTCACATCAAAGCTCAAAGACACGAGTTATTGTAAGTTGATTGAATGAGACATCATTCGTCGCCTACACCTTTTCAAGACTGAAACAGATGGGAAAGTTGACATGAGCAACAATTCCAACCTAGGTATCGAGCCGAGAAGGAAGCAGGAGGTGGCAAGATGCATTCAAAGAAAACTGAGATGAACAATGAGGTGAATGAGTATCGTGTAGGCTTGAAAATAGCGACAACACAGACTGGGAAACATTATGGAACGATCGGAAGACTACTGTTTCACATTCACCGCCCATTGGAACGCTGCTGCGATCGATTGAGTTGGATTGGAAAATATTGTGAAATACGTCAAAAAGCGCAGTTTCAATAATCTTCATTCTCATCGATACATCGAGCACTGCATTTTTCGCATTCCGAATAATTTTCATTATGGATTAGCGTTGGTTGCACTTTTTAATACGGATTAGAGCAATATGCGAGCTATAGACGACACATCAACATACATTTCCAAGAAAAAAAGCTTGTCTGCTTTTATCCAGTCTTACACAGTTATCACTAATAGGGTTTTGTCGAAGTTGTTTCATTCAAAAACAGCTCGAAATCTTCATGATTCATGATCCAACACGTGAGTTGTTTCCAAGCAAGTTTGTAAACAGTTGTTGCTTATATACCGATCAAACATTCAGACAGTTACAATGAATATCACAGTTCATATCACCCATTGATATTTGATCATATAGATCATATCACAACACAAGTTTTACTAAATTAAGTGATGACAAATATTGCGAATGTTCAATCGTCAGGTGACCACAATATGTGTAGATGAAATGATCCCATTTTGGTAACATGAAAACCTCACTAATCTTTCGTGCTGAGCGAATTGAAAATCGGTTAAGTGAATTCAAAACAGTGCCCAAATGTGTTTCTAAGGATTATCCTTGATTGGATAAAAGGGGACAGAAGCGAGCCATTAATTAACTTTGTTAATGCTTATATGAACGACGAAACATTCCAGTCAGTATTCGGNTGTCGATGTGCACTTATATATGAACCAAATCAACTGTTTCATCATCTCATCGAAATGTGGATCCGCCCATTACAACTGACAACATCTGATGAATTCATTAAGTTTTTGAAATAATTGTGAGATGATGATTGATGAAATTTTTCATTACTCATTTCAAAACATGAGAGGGAGGTCGGAAGTGAGAATGGAGCGTTATGTATAACAGACGATCAGCTGGAATGAACGGCTGCAATGAATGATATCTTTCGAGACGCGAAAGTGGCAGAAAAGTGAAACGTCACAGTGTTGAAATTTCAGTGTTCGAGGGTCGATGGTGAGAACCGTGAAAATAGCACAAATGTTGTTTGAAATTCGATTTTATTAGAGCTTTGTTGCGTATGAACTTCTGAAACAACTGTGCTAGCAAGGATGTTTTATTTCGTCGAAGCATTGCACTTATAAAAACAAACGAAGGAATTTGTTTGTGAGAATATGCCGAACGTTTGTTGATTTCTGCAATATGGCTGCAATTCAAAAACATCGAAACGTGGCTAGCAACTGATACGTGACGTGTGTATGCATACATATGCTGGGCGTATGAATAATCACTCGAATGAAATTTCACATCAGATGCGTAAAGCTGAATGAACTTTCGATGGAATTTGGTTATGATTCATTCTCTGCACTGAAAACGTTCCCTTGCACAACAAACCTATTATTGTCGTCGATCGGATTAACACAAACATGAGAACGTTCCAGAAGAATTTCGCAAAACAGATTCCTGTTTGTGCAATGCGGTGACTCATTGATTACGTGGAACAGTTGTTGAGATCATCTGATCAGTAATTCTGCAAAGGTGGTCGTTTGCCGATCATTAATCACGGCTGCATGGAGACCCACCTTCTGAATTTCATGCCATGTGAAATCAATCAATAGGAAATTAATGTTTCCATTAGGTTATTTATCAGTTTTCAGTACGAATTAGATAAGCCTCAGAATTTGTCGACGGTATCGTTAGTCGAATGCCAGAGCACAAGAATGTAATTGAGAAAGGTGCTGATATAACAGAGTGGTGTCAATTGGCAACAGTGATGAAATTTCAGACGAAACGTCTGTTGGCAAAGATACGTGGGCGAAAGGTATCTGTTCGTTGTGATATTCAGAAACCAACAAGTATGGATAATTTATTCAACAAATTAGCACAAATAAATCGCCAAAAATAAGCAGTCGTGATGTGATTTCCGTTCAACATTTAAAAATACCCTTGTATAATTTAAACATTCACGAATGTGCGTGATAACTATTATTCAACTTGCAGCGATGATATTAGTTGAAATCGGTGTAAAAATCCGTTTCGAGTCGTAGGAAGAATTTATGGAAGAATAGAGAAAATGAGCGAAGAAGTTTGTTTTTCGAGTGAAGGAATGGATTAAAGTCGAATGGAGGAATTAATGAGAGTTATATGGAAGTTGATCTATCTTGCTGGCTATTCATCACATTTACACTCAAATTGTCTGCATTTCACATTCTCATTTATTCATCCTTTCAGCAAAAATATCCTTAATCGATGTCGCAGAGGTTCACATCCCGCGAAACATAGCAAGTATTTGTCCACTTCACGACTTTCATATAAATTAAATGGATATATTCAGTGAGTGAGAACGCATTCCATTAACAGACTACAGCAAAGAGGTACAATAAAATGTTTTCTGTGCATTAAAGATCACTTTTCAATGCAGTTCATATGCGGAAACACTCGAAATTCTACGCTGTCGCCTCGCACCCTTCCAATGTGCACGACCAGTTCGCTTTGACTTGGCCCATTCCTGTTCATCAGCTGAAAGTTTCGCAAATCAGTGTCATCGAGCATTTTTTGATCATATCAGGTATGGGATAAATTGAATTGCAGTGATTGTGTTGTGATACGAACGCAATCTTCATACATGGTTAATGCGTTTACATGCGTTTTTTCGTGATTGCTCATCAACACTGGTTTTTGTTCAAGCACGGAAAGAGTGCAGTGTGTGAGTGTGCAGATAGGATGCAGATGGCGATAATTAAGTGAGTGAGATGAGAACATGCTGCTCATGTGCAAAGGTTGTTGTTCGTTGCAGATGCAAAAGTGACTGATGCCTACAGCCAACGGGTGAACGGTGCGTAGCGTTCCTTTGGAGAATGCATTAAAAGAGGAAAGGAAGAAGGAAAAGAGGAGGAATGAAACAGAAAGTGGGGAAAAGAAGGGGAGTAGAACGAAAGGGATAAGAAAGAAGAAAAAATAAGCGTAGAAAAATCCACTCCAAAATTCAGCTATTTTCATGGGCCAAACTGTTTTGCACCGTTCTCCCCCTCCCATCTGGAACAAATCCTGGCTAACTGTGCATTCAATTGACGTTTGACTCGACTTACCAGATCCGAAAATAAGGAATATGATGCTCACGGCAGCATTCATTACACCGGCTATAAGAAAAACAGTGCTCCATTCCTGCGCCGTACCCTGAGTATGTTCTTGATTTAGCTTCCGCATAATTAATTTATGGTGTAATCAAAAGTACATAAAAAACCTTTTTCAGCGAACCCCGCTATCACTTTTCCAGTTGATTATTCCGATCCGGTTCACATCTAGTCAAGAATCTTACCTGATCTTGCGTGTACCACTTTTTAAAAAGCAATTCACTGCAAACGGAAACATCACAATGATTGCAGTTTATCTCCTATACCAGTGGTTCTCATACGGGGTGAAATTACCCATTTTTGGTAATTTGGGCGTCTCGTGGGGAGAACAGAGGGGTCAGGAAATTCGTATTTCGTGCAGTTGTTATACTATGATAAAATGCCATTGTGATGATATTTTTTCACTTGGATATATAAATGCTATTAGTTCATGGCAGCACTCTTCTTTCTCGTATTTTCTGAGTATTTTTAGTTCGTTTAGATCCGTTACAAGATCTGAGCAAAAATCCGGTTGAAGAAGTTACAAGTATCTCGTGACTGCTGGCATCGTATTGCCTGACATCGCCTCTCATGAGCAATAAAAATTGATTGAGCTCTTTGGTACGACAAAAAAGATCATTGATTTGGTGTAAGACGATCGAGTATTTCTGAATTTGATGATATCGAATTCTTTTTTCAATTTTAACAATTTTAAATTTTTCTATCGCTTGTGAATGTTTTTTCATCTGTTATGTAATAATACTTGTTTCGTGATGAACGATAACATTTCATATGATGTTAAAGACTGTAATGCTTGAAAAGTAGAATGGGAATTTTAGACTTAATGCACCTGTCGCATCTCAAAACTCTCGATAGTTCGGATTTATTTTCATCCCTCTAAATAATTCTTACTCATTCATTAACATCACTTTGATGAAGTGATTCGTTATCCGTTCCTCTCGAAGATAATTCCTCAAATGTTTACTGCATCTTCCTTCTTCATGAGTAATTGACTTGTTGTTGAATTTCATTTCTTTTATCGCTGAAGAATGTTTTTTTCATTGTTTTTCGTTTCTGATTGCCCACGTTCATATTTTTCTGCTGTGGATAAATAAATTTCTAAAAATACTTCTTTCATTCCAGAAAATTAATTTCTTTCACACCATTGAGAAAATTCCGGACCGGTTTTCCTTTGTCAGTTTTTGGATCAGAAGCGTAGGGGGGGGGNGGGGGGGGGGGGGGGGGGGGGGTTGGGGTAATGGCGGCGTACCAAATCATCGAAATGGGTAATGGAGCCCCCGAGCGTGAGAACCACTGTCTTATGCACTTATTTAGGCTGTTCAAAATGTGCAATTGATATATCTTACGTACATACCTTACGCTTAACTAAAGCAACCACATTTGGCGCGGCCATGTTGGCGATTTGTCCGAAAATCATCGAAATTGAAATTAGTGTACCAGTGTAATTTGGCGCTAGACTTATGAGGCTGGTCATTGAGCCGGGTATTACGGCTGCTGCTCCTATTCCTGCAAAGGATTTTGAATGCCGGTAACAGTTCGTAATCTACTGAAATGGGTTGAACTATATCAACAAGCAAATTAAAATCATAAATGTGAAATGCCATAAGAACACATAATAAGAATGCATTACGTGCCTTGTATGACCACCATCGCAATCGCTAACGTTGGTGTAGTGCAATCAACCAGGAATGATATTACTAATAGTGTTGACGATTGTATAACACATCCTACAACGCATTCAAGTTCTATTTGCATTTGTTAGTGTAATTCGATGAACAATTTAGTGCAAAGTCTTACAATTAATTGCGAATTAGAACTGTTAATGGAACTTATGATCGATCAAAATAAAATTTGCAATAAACAGAGTGTGATATCGATGATCTGAAAAGTATCAATACAATTCCAGCACATCAAATCATTTCTTCAGATTGATAATAATTGTTACAACCAATCACAAACCGGAGACTTGAAATATTTTGCATGCGACAGTTGGACTAAGAACTGAAGATCTTTTCAGTTTATCTGAGATGATGCCCATTATGTTTTTCGAAATAAGCTGCGTTATAAACGGTGCTGTTGTGAACCAACCATTCTGAAATATTTCAGAGTTGCAGCTGGCTTAAACGAACCACTGCTTACTTCCTCTGTAACGAATTCGTCGACTTGATTGACTCTTATGTGAGCTACATGACTATTTGATGTCATTGTATCAAACTCTCATAAAATCAGGAAGTAGTGTTGAATTTTGCCCAGTTGCTAGGAGCTTGAAAACGTAGCAATTATGTGGTACTTCGTCAAAGATTCCCGAAGTATTATACGTCATACCATTTAATGGTTGAGACCGAAAAGCGCTTTCTGAATAAGAGACCAAAACAGATCGAATAAACTTTACGTTGAATTTGATCACCACTAGAGTTTTCTCTGCATCAAAATTACCAGTATCACGCACTTATTTCAAGGGTATAAATACCAATCTCATAAAATTCGATTGTTCTCTTCGAATTCGGTTCTCATTCCATTTCTGTGATTAGTTTTCACTGTATGCGATAGAGTTATATCACTCCGAGCTTTACAATAGTCAAAATTGAACCTTATGTAAATCAACAAATAAAACTTCTTTATAGAAGGTTGGCAAGAACGCTTGAAACATTGTAGCTGTGTAGTTAGCAGCAAACGTCGATAATAGATCTGCGATCATTGGTGCTGATAACGCTATTGACAGCCATGGAATGGAATTGATAACCATCAGCTGTAAAATGTGAGCATTTCAGATCAGTGAACACTGTTCGCTTTCATCTGATGAATGTAGTATTAAATTGTATAGTTTAATACTATACCATAGTATTAAACTCTCAGAAGTATTGTTCAATCATTTCATTAGCCAAACTGCNCTATTAACGATGACGTTGAAGATGTATTCATTTTTGGGCTATGAATTTGATGTCGTATTATGAACATTCATGGCTCATCAATTTCAACGGTCAATTGAAGATGTATTACATTTGATTTATTGATTTAGAAACCTGTTTATCAGTGTTTTCAACATATGTGCTGAGATAACGTTTCTCACGCTTCGAAGCCCATCTACTCTCATCGGGTGAACTCGAGACCAGCAAATACCACAAAACGATCCAAACGACACCAACTATGGCTGAAAAACAAATTACCAGTAAACTTTAAAATCAAGGGATCACATAACATTTGAACTGTAATTGAAATTATTTGATAAAATTTTTATCAAGAAATGTCATATTGCGATAAAATCATAACTCTCCATTGAATTTGATATACTCACAACAATATCAGATTTAAGAGTTCGACCTAGCAGGTTCCTCTGAAATTATTCGATTGCACTGCTAAAACTAAAACATCATGCTCATTGTCAGCACAATGATATGCTGAACGATTGTCAGTTGTTAATACTATCAATAGTAATGCCATTAGTTGCATTCGAATCGATTTCAAACGAATTGAATATTCTCTTACCGAGACAATAAAAAATAGATGGCCATCCTCCGAGGAAGTCTGCTGTGCAAAGAGCTGAACCAATCACCGATATCGACGACGTGGCTACTTGATTGCCGGATGTATATATTGCAGCAATGGTGCTGCGTTCAGTTTGAGGAAACCAGCGAGCTGCCAGAGAGGACATCGTTGGTAGCACAAGACCCTGCAGGTCAGCAGAATCACAGTAACTCATGAATATTTAAATGATGAACAGAACATTGTCGCATGACTTGATGGGCATTGTACGAAAGTGTCTGGTTCGTTTGCAAGGAAAATCCATAAGCAGCAAACAAACGAAACTGGCAAAAGTTCTTACTTCACCAAATCCCATGAGAATGCGCGCTGCAAAGAACGCATAATAGTTGACGTTTACGAGCAGTGGAGTTAACGCTGAGATGAGCACATAGTCAGCGATGGCGATCATAAGAATTATTTTTGGGCTGAAACGGTCCGCAAGTATTCCACCAGGGAGTACCGTCACCAGACCACCATAATAAGTAGCCGAAAATAACGTCGATTGCATCGCTGGAGTCCATAACAGATGACCCTTTAACATACGAGGTACCATGAAAGAGAGCATGTTCGAAGGAGTAGATGAAAAATTCCTTGAGTGCGAGTGTTTCGGTAGAAAATCGTTCAGCTAATCGGTTGTTAACGAAACATTGTCGGATGGAAAAGCGTCGAGAGGATAACGTATCGACATATTACGAACTGTGATTACACATGGATTGGAGCTGAAGTGTTGACCTGAAGTAACCCGAAGATAAGGAAGTCTCGACCGGCCAATAACTTCATACTGACCCTCCGGGGAGG